GTAACAATAGGTACGTCATTTTTCTCAATATTTGCACTTAAAGTTTGATATAACAAGGTCTAATAAACTATTATTTATGTTTAATACAGTAATGCTGCTTGAGGTTAGATAAAGTTAGAAAATTTAAAGGTAATAAATTCTTGGAGTTTCTTTGGTCATTAGTGACATACGCTGGTATATTAAAGTCACCCATTATAAGTATATCCCTTTCATGTATGATATTAAGCAGGGATAAATTGTCAAAGAATAATTTGAGATGGTGGAATATACGTATAAGACTAAAACATAAAGAGTATAGTAGCTTATAATGATTTTACAACATACAATGTCAATTTCAGGGACAGGGCCTTTCAGGTAGGGCAAAGGAACAGACTGAGACATTATATTCATTAGATACGCCCACTAAAACACCTCCTCCCTTAGAAACATTAAGTTAATTGAAATTGCGGTCAGAGCGGTAAACATTGTAAAATTCAGTAAACAGTTCTGAGTTTGCTACCTACTTCTGGTTTTAACCATGTTTCTGTTATTGCTATTATGTTATTCTTGCCTTTTAACTTTTGACAGTTATGTAGGATAGACTAAGCTTCCAGTAAAGAGGAGAGCATAACTTTTAAAGGTCTATTGCTCTTACTAATCCTACTTGTGCTAATAATATTAACTGTAGCGTCCAGCGTTTGAGCAAACAAGGTTCAAGTATCAGTAACATCGTCATTATTTGCTGTCATGTTGTTAAAGATCATGATATTGTTTGCGCGTTTTTGCCGATCTTGTAGTTCATTAAGGATATCATCAGAACTTGATGACTGGGTAGGGGAGGGATTTTGAGTTGGTTTAGTTGTATTTCGTCCTGCAATATCAACATATGTCTTTTGCAAACCATCCACTTCAGACACAAGAGATTTAAGATTCTTTGGCTCATCAATATCTTTGTTCACATCAAGTTTTAATTTCTCAAAATTTTCGACCGCAGGAGCAATAGCTTTAGCTTGATTTTCAAATTCTTATGTGATTTTTCTCTGTCACAGATCACCTAATACAGATGCGTAAGTACGTATACTTGCCGTCGACGATATTCTGTAACGAAGCCGGGGGGCCAGCACCCCGACGCATAGATACAGATCACCCGCGTCAGGACAATTAACGTGGCCGAGTGCGTGAGCATGTTCCAACCTGTGTGTTTACATATTTTTGCGGGTAGAAAAGAATATTTTTTTGCTGTTATATTATTGAGCTTCCGCATTTATATAATCAATGACCTATTATCATAGATAGACAGATTTATAAACAAAAATATATGTTGACAACATGTCCGATTCTTTCTATCCTGACCAAATTCCCCCACTACTAAAATGTCACATTTAGTGGTAGAAATATTTATTTTCTCTTTCTAACGCAGGTATAAAGTCCTGCCTTTCAATTAGACTTGGCAACACAGCACTAGACTAAACTCGGCCTCCTGCTTGTCGTAGTAATACGGTCCGTTCTGGCCCAGAGTATCTTGTTGTCTCTATCCTATGCGATGATGATTAGTATATGTTGAAAAAAGACCGATACATAAGATATGTTCGTGTTAGTCTGGAATACTTTTCGAATATCATCGTTTTGGTTTTGGGGCGGGACCAATTGAGCCTGGTCCATGACAGGGAACAGCTGTTGAGGCCGGACTTAGATCGGGCGACTTATCCCCACCATGGACCGCTCGCACCCCAAATCTCCCCTGGCCTATAAACATGTTGTCAACACAACAAATAGTATTTTATGAATGGAATACTCTGTCTATCTGTGATAATAGGTCATTGTATATAAAAAATATGTTCAAAATACATTGATGCGGCCAGCCTATGTCTATCAAATTAATCTTGAACCACGAATTCGCCGCTCTTTCGCATCTGTATGTAGGTAATCTGTGTCTCTGTATCTTTTTTGTTTCCGAGCCCAAATCATCGACTCGTTTTTTCAAGTTTGCTGCGCCCCTTATAAATCATCGATACAGTCTGGACACCAGAACATAAGAAGGCAACGAATTTCGGATGCCGATAGCCCAGCACAATTCCTGCAGATAACTTGCTTGCAAGAATCGCAAGGAAAACCGAACAATTCGCTTTTATCCTTACGTAGTTTACATACTTGAGCTGTTGCACTTATAACACCGTAAAGATGATTGTGAAAAAGGCATGTTGAATAAATATTTTGGTTTATTTTCGTAGAATAGCCGGTCCCTGGGAAAACTCTCTATAGATTGCCTTCCTATCTGACATAAAAAGTGGTAGTATAAACAGACAAAGAATGTGTACGAAAATGGTAAAGAGGATATTATTACAATTTTGGCAATCAATTTTCCAATTTTTAAGCCTTTCCCGCAGATCTAAGTGAGCGGTCCTTTTTCATAGGTATGAAGCACAATTCAGCACACACTTTGCTACGAAACTCAACTGAACTGTCCCATTCAATTGTCGCAAAAAGTGAAATATAAGCAGAGCGATTCAAATACACGTATGTCTTTTCACACAGAGATAAAATACTACAGATTCGAAAAAATCCCCTTACCTCAAGAAGAGGAAAGAAAAAGACGAAGGACCCAAAGGAGCCCACCTCCTCAGGGTCCAAACCCGAGACTTCTTCAGAAGAAGAAGGAAGACGAGAAGAAAGACTCTCACTCCGGTAGAAGAAATTTATATTTACAGTCCCGCGGCTCTTATTATCGAAGATGAATCGAAATTCAACATCAAACGAACAGTCGTAGTCCTCCGATAGTAGGTATGCATAGAAGTCTACAGTTTTTGTTCTCAGACCTCTTACGTTTTGATAATATATATTACGGAAGGTAGTCCTTGCAGGAGGCTGTGATATCACATTGGTATTGTGCAAGTTACTTAGGAGGGAGCTGTCTCCTGTGACTGAGACAGGCTCCTCCTTTTCCATAAAAAACGCGAGACTAGGGCACCATTAGGCTGTTCGGGTAAAACTTATCACCGACCAACCACACCGCGGCCTAGCACTGGCATCAGGTTACTTCGCTGGAGATGGGCAAGCACCACCAGAAGAAGTATAGAGACTAGTCGAGTACTTCAACAGGAGCAAACTACCGCTCCTAATTGGCTGTAACGCCAACTTTCACAACACTATCTGGGGAAGTACCAACACAAATCTAAGAGGTGACCAACTGTTAGAATTTATCTTTCAAACAAATCTAAATATACTAAATGTAGGGAATACACCAACATTTGTTACTAGGATCAAACCCTCTCTCTCTGATCACAGAATCATAACTAATGTTTTACGTAACAAGAATGCAGGAATGAACTACCTCGTATAGAAACCCCAGAAATACGAACTGGGAAAAATACACAACCAAACTGCAAAGCAACCTCGAACAAATCATTTTAGCTGCAAGAATATACGTGAAGTAGAAGACACCTTTCAGCTCTTTAACGGAGTAATCATGGAGGCATACGAATCCAGCTGTTCCGTGAAAGAGCAAGTAAACAAAAATGGCTGCCCATGGTGGTACAGTCACCTGCCATGACAGATCCGAGGTTCGTTGGCTTTTTAACATAACCAAACGAGACGGAGAATGGCAGGGCTACACCGAAAGGCACACTGAGTACAACAAAGAAATTAGGAATGCCAAGCGAAAAAACTCCAGAGACTTTTGTGAATCTATCACAAAAACACCATCAGCAGCCAGATTATACAAAACCTTGCCGAAAGGCAGGGCGCAAGGACCATCGACACTTAAGAAACCAGACGGTAGTAACACAAAAAATGAAGAGCGACAAACTGCTCTACTGCTGGAAACTCACTTTCCAGGAAGCACACCCAATGATACTGAAGAAAGCAAAGGGCGGCCCAGGAAAGCCAGGCAAGAAAACTGGGAGGTTGCTAAGAACCTTTACACTCCTCAGCGGCTTACTTGGGCGATCGACTCCTTCCAACCGTTCAAGTCGCCTGGTGTTGACGGCATTTTTCCAGCCCTGCTGCAAAACGAAATCAGGCCGTATCTAATGAAACTCATCAGATACTGCTTAGCGACCGGATACATACCCAGTCAATGGAGAAGAGCTGAAGTAATTTTAATCTCGAAGGCAGGGAAAAGAGACGCCACTCTTCCGAAGTCGTTCAAACCTATATGCCTCACGTCGTTCTTGCTTTAAACAGCTGAGAAAGTTTTAAATAACTACATCAGAACAAGTGTTTTAGAAAAAAAGCCACTACATCCTGGGCAGCATGCTTACAGAGCGGGCATATCAACAGGAACCGCTTTACTTGAACTCATTGGACAGCATCCAAAGCACATTGCATGATGGAGAACTAGTAGCCGTCTGCGCCTTCGTGGACATAGAGGGGGCATTTAATAAAACCTCTCATGAGTCAATAAAGAATGCGCTCGTCAAAAAAGGAGTGGACAAAACCACATCCACCTGGATGGCGAAACGCTAGCCACCAGAACTGCAGAAAATTACGTGAGTGAACAAACAATACAGGTCACCACTACTAGAGGATGTCCGCAGGGAGGGGTACTCTTGCCTTTGATGCGGAGTCTAGTGGTTGATGAGCTCCTAAATGTACTGACCGATCAGGGTTTCACCTGCCTTGGATACGCCGATGATATTTTCATCATAGCCAGCGGCAAATACGAAAGATTCGAAGGAATACTTTGCGACCTTATATAAGCACTTCGAACTACGAAGGAATGGTGTCAGACAGGTGAGCTGAATCTAAACTCAGCAAAAACCACACTGGTAACATTTACAAAGACAACAAAACTCCCAAACCTGAGAAACATTCTTCTCGATGGAAGCAGGTCTCTGATGGGAGAGCGTGTATATGGGGAGAGACCTGTGGCTACAATCAGTCTTGCATTGGCTCGATACCCAACAGTATACCAGATTGACATCATCTACGCCACACAGGTAGGTATCTAACATCAATTGGTGTGCTTGTTCCTGATTGAGGCTCCTAATCTATATATTCGTCTCAGATTTTAACTCACTTACCTAAAACACCAAGACGAAAATTCAACGTCACCACTATAACGTGTCCATACGATGCTAGAACACTACCGTCATAAGGATGTCCTGCACCCCACTCGTAACTTTCACCGTGTAAGTACACTAACACCGCATAGGGGGCTTCTATACCACGATTTCCTGAAAAAAAAATAGGTTCAGTTTAAAAATGTTCTCACATCTATTTCATCATGAAAATGGAATAAGTTTAATTAAATCGGAGCAAATTTAATAAACTCTCCAGACAACACTGAGGGAACTTCACTTTGTGATTTCCGTTATTTCATTCTCAGGATGAATTACTCAAAATATGTTCCATTATTAGGTATATTTGGGGCACAAAATTAAATTGACAAATACTGTAGGCGAAAGTTGTTCACAGAAGGTCACTAGGCATAAAAAAGTCCCCAATAAAAATGAAATTTATAAGGCCCTAGTCTTTTAGGCGGAAATTTACGGTTAATCCTTGAAACGAGACGGACGCACACAGATGCTTAATTACGATATAAAAAAAGCGGTCCTCGACTTTTTCTGGAGTCGCTTGGAAAACCCAAAAAAAAATGTTCCCTTGTTACATTTTTTCTTCACGATGAAAAAGTAGCAAACCATTCTAAATTTTTTTTGTAGACAAAGGAAACATAAAGTTACTCGTACGTCTTTGTCAGCAAAATAATTTTTTCTGAACCCGATGTAATTTCGTTTGTATCAAGATTTAAAATTGAGCACAAAGCAGGGGGTTTGAAATTATTTTAGGGCGCGCTGCTGTATGGAGGGCAAATATTTGCAATTTCGGAGCCAAAATATTTGCCGAACACAAAATTATTTCAGTAAATTTAGCGCGTCCTCTGCCTTAACATAAACACCAGGCTAAATCGACCTATGCGACAATGTTCCACGAAACAGCTGCTTTCTTGCCGGATTATCTAAAATTAGGGTCGCCGAGTGAACTATCTGAACAAATTATTTGAACTATAGCATTTTGAGGGGGGTTGAAATTGTGTTGTTTGTGAAATAGAGAAAATTTGGAATGTTGAAGCGGTTTTTGAAAAATAGGCTCCCTGCACTGAAATGTTGAATGTGTAGGTACTGGATTGCAATGACTTTACACAGTGAAGTTTTGTTTTAATTTCATGCTCAAATGCATCGACCGATTGGGAGATCACCCAATTCACATAGCCGCTATGATGGCCACGTGTAGCATCCACGCCAAGTACTCTATTATTAAGGTTAGATGGTAAATTGCGAGCGGTCGTATTTGATTGTAATTATTTCAGGGGCAGCTACTGAAAAATAAAATTGTGGGGACGGGTCTATTTGCAAGAGAGAGAAACAAACTGATTATCTGTTAATAATAAGACTTTATTAATAAGATTTTCATTACCCATAACAATGGTACAAATTTTCTAAAACCCTAATCCAACACCTTTCTAAACTAAAATAAACAATTCTAAATTGATGCAATCGTACAGCCACCTCTACACTGTCTCTGAGCTTGTGAATCAAATGATGCAATCAAAAAGCCTTATGCTTTAATAACCCTACTACGTTAGGTACAATATTTTTGAATCCTAAACTCCTTTTTCACCTCAATACAATAATTCATAATTTGATTTAATTATTATAACTTCCTGTTCTATAAACATATAAAATCCCTGAAATTGCTTACTGCCAAATTTTGTACAATACTTATACTCAAAAATCGTGTACTTAGCCAGAGTAAATACTATCAAAACAATGAATATTTTATCTTAATTCATTTAATTAGAAACCATAATATCTAACTAATCATTTTCTAGACGGAACAAAACAGTTAATTCGATTATCTAGTAGTAAAATTCATTTCAATTAACAGTCATTTGAATTATCTATACTATGATTGTATTTAATTTTTACTGTTAAGACATTGTCAATTACGGGTCTATTTTCCGGGTCATTACATCCCTCCGCGCTTTAAAACCGAAATTTTATTGAATAAGATAATTTCGGTCAAATCGTATGCCTATTTTAAAATATTGAATTTTCCCTCAAGAGTACCTCAGAAAAATGTGGGCTGGTCGGTGAACCTTCTGTGATTTATGGTTTTCTTTTCTCAATTTAAAGTTTGACGATATTATCATCCGAGTATTTATCAGTTCGTTCAAATTAATTATGTGCAAGCTTTTCATACCCTAAATTTCACATTTCTTAAAAATATCTGTTGGCAATACATAATAAAACTTTTCCCGTGTAATTTCGCAACCTCATTCACAATATTAACTATTAAAGATTAAATTATGAATCTTTACTCAACACTAAATTTTATCCTTGCATCAAATTTTTTCTTAATTTTCTTCAGTAATACAATTTTCGTTTAATATATATTTTTTTTTTTTTCAAAATTGTTGATGCTAGAACGACATAAATACAAATTTCAATCTTACAAAGTAATAAACCTTACTTCTAGCAAAGTTTACTTGTATTAGCGCTGGTTGCTCATAAGGCCTACATTGAATGGGCCTATATTGCGGACTTCCACTACGACTCATTGGTTGGTTGCCTGTAGTTTCGCTGTCAATCTCACAGAAGTAGCTAGGATAGTTACGATCTGGATGCTGATGCTGCTCATGGGTGCTAGTTTGCTAGTCACACTTACACCCTTTTGACTTTTCACTTTACACAACATTACTCTCGTGGTTACTGGCTCTGGTTGATTCCATGGTCTTCGTGATTTCTCCTATTGGCTCGTCCGAGTTACATTACTAGGACAGCATTGTCCAAACTTTCCATTCCGACATGGATACGTCGTAGCAGATCGAGTTCGCCGTTTTCTTGATACCTAGTATGATTTTCTAATGGAATGTATCTAACTAAATGTTATATATTTAGTTCCTTAATTACCTAAGCTACGGCCTTTAAATTTTTGTATCCTTACATTCTACTCCTTTACATCCTTTCTTATGCATTCTAGATTTCATTTCATTCCTAGTTAGGTATACATAGACTGGATATACTCTGATTTTTTACATTTTACAGCTTCTTTAGTACATAATCCTTAAATCTAGCGGGCCATTTTATGTCCCGTGTCCTCGTACTCCTTGGTACTTCCGCATCGTGTTCCTCGTCCTCTTCTTCTTCTTCTTCCGGATTTTCCTCATTTTCTAGGTTTATATTTTCTTCTCTATTTGCGCTATCGTGGTCTCCCATCTCTCTGAGCCTTACGGGTAATTCTTGTCCCCGTACTTAAAATTCATCTTCTTCTTGCACCATTATTTCATCATTGACGTCATTAATTTCACTTCAATCGACGATTTCTTCATACTCGTCTCATATCATTTCCCTATGGATTAGTGGAAATTCTATGATGTCTTTTCCTCTGGGTAGAACCTCATTGTCCTCCTCCTCATTGTATTCACTATCTCCGTGATCTGGTGTAGGATGTATTATTCTATCCTCCAACCCTTCACATGGTTTGAGTCTTTCAGCATGTAAATCTGCTCTTTCTTCCCGTGCAATTCCTTTATTTTGAATGTAACCGATCCTAACTTCTAAGTAATTCGACTTGGTCCTGACCATTTACAACGGAATTTTGGAGCTTAATTCCTCCCTGGTAAAACTAGATTCCTCACATAAACTAAATCCCCGACTTGGAATTCTTTCCTAATCCTTTTTTGCATTGTGTTTATCGCATCTTCTATCAATAGAAGTTTCCATGCTCCTCTGAGCTAACTCGTCGGCGTTCTGCATTCTGGTGACTAACTCTGCAGCATAGTTTTCGTCTATGTCATATTTTACTGGTCCACTTGACAACATTAGGTGTACTGGAAGTTCCATATCTCTCCCAAACATTAAAAAGAATGGAGATTCTTGGGTTGCCTCATATGGCAAATTTCTATACGCTAGAAGACAAAAGGGTAGTACTTCATCCCAACTATCATTGTGATCATCGACGTAATGACATCATCGTTTTTATGGTTTTGTGAAACCGTTCTAGATGCGAGTCTACGTCTTTCGAAAATACAATTATGTCGTCTAAATATACAAGACACTTGGTATACGTCAATTTTCCTAGGATATGATTCATAATACGGCTCCAAGTAGCCGGTGCGTTCTTTAAACCCATTGCCATCCTTAAAAATTGGTAATGGTTACCAGGAGTTAGAAATGCTGTTTTTTCCTGGTCCTCTGGTTTTATGGGCACTTGGAAATAACCAGATGCCAAATCCATGGTAGAAAATAGGTGAGATTCCGCTAATTTTTCGATGGTCTCTTGTATATTGGGTAATGGGAAGTGGTAAGTTTTTGTTATGGTATTCAATTCCCGATAATCTATGACAAGCGTAAGCGTATACTGGATGTCCTCTCCAGGGTGTCTTTTCTTTTCTATAAGGATTGCAGGAAAACTCCATGGTGACTCACTTTCCACGATCACTCCGTCATCCAGTAATTTCTGGATTTCTTGCTTCATAACCTCTTGTCGATGATACGGTACTCTATAGGGTCTCTTTATGATTGGCTGCACATTCCCCGTGATAATTCTATGTACGACCTCTGTTGTACAACTTAGTTTGTCTTCTGGTGCTTCAAATACGTCAATAAATTCAAGAACAAGCTGCTTAAGTCTTTGTTCTTCACTCGATTTGGGATTGTCTAAATTTAACTTTTCCAAAATTTCTTTGACTCCCTTGTGGTCAATACTCCTTATTTGTAAAGTTTCTTTTTCCTTCATGCTCAATTTCCGCTTCGTATGCTCTTGCGATTACAGATTTACTCGTTAGAGTTAATTCTTTCTCGGTTATATTTAATAACCTCACTGGGACTACACTGTCCTTACACAAAACACGTGCCACTAGCAATCCTGACAAAGCTTCTTCACATTGTTCGATAACTATGTGCTGATCCTTAACCCTTGAAGCTCTGCGTAGGGTTGCTTGACATACTACTTGACTTATCGGCATTAATATCACCTCATCTCTCAGAGTCACCAAAACCATTTTAGTTTCCGAATTTCATGTCTTTTACTGGACCTTCATTAAAATTAATTTTTAATGGAACCTGAAAATTCCTACGGAATTTCCCTGGAAGTTCACTGTCCTTCTTTCCAAAACTGGTGGTACTGGCAAGCCTGTCAAAACTTCATCACATTGCTTAATGTGTTGAGCCTT